GGTGATTGAAATCTGGTATCAGAAACGAGGAGTGAAACAAGACACTAAGAACCGGAAATGCCAAATTACAGCTGATGCGATTGAAAATTTGTATCAGAAACCCCCAAAACAACCGAAAATCGAGATGTATCGTTATATGTGGACCTACATTGACATTTTTTCTGAGGAGTTAAACTACCAGCATAGAATGTCAAATATCAGATTACAGCTGTTTCGGTTGGAATTCGAAAAATCCCACAAAAATACCGAAAATAAAGAGGTACGAGGGTTACCAAAAATGAAGCTACTTTAAATATTTTTTTGTGAGGAGTTAAACTAACTTCCAAAAAGAAGAATGTTCAAATTACAGTTGTTTTGTTGGAAAATTGTGTCAAGCCTCCATAATATATCGAAAATTAGTAGCTATATTTATATGGTAAGTGGGGACTTATAAAAATGGACCAAAACTGACATTCTTGTGAGGAGTAAAATATCCACTGAGAACCCAATTTGGTAATTGCAGCGAATGTAGGTGATTGGAAATTATATGCAGAAACCTCCAAAAATCAGGAGCTATATGAGAGCGTATCATGTGAGGAGTTATTGCAGCGGATTTGGTTTCAAATTGTGGAATATATATCGAAAATTAGGAGCTACCATTAAATGGAGGCTACACATAAAAGTCAAGAGGAACTCATGTATGTAGTTACAACATAACTACTCTGGTCTGTCTAGGCAGCCGACGTTCTTCAGCTGCAATGGATGGGGGGACGGCATTCATACTCTAACACCTGCCTGACGCTTCTTGGTCTAGATGGTTCAATGAGGAGCGGCCTTGTTGAAGTTTTCAGAGCACGATTCTGGCAGGTGTGAATGCTCTCCCACTGCATAGTATTCGCAGACCACACTGAGCAGCCAGAACGACATATCACTTTATAAGAGGTTAACAAATTGTGGGATGAACACACCCCAGAACACACACCTTTTAAATCAATTTTGAAAGGAGAAGGGCCTAGAGCCCTGCGCGGTATTTCAAAAAAAAAAACATGTTCGTTTCGAACCAATTTTGAAAGAAGGGCTTAGAGCACCACGTCAATCATCCTACCACACGTCCCCTTCTGGGTCCTCAGTAGGACGACACAATTTTCTTCATCGGGAAGTCCGTACTTTCCTTGTTATGGGCCTCTAAGTTCCGTAAGTACCAGTGTTCCAGTCCGGTGTTTGTAACACTAACCAAGACAATATTTCTTTAAAAAATGAATAAATGAATTTTAGTGGGTAATCGTTCTTAGACAGGGAATTTAAGACTATCGGCTATAGACGAACTGCAACACCGGCTACGTGACCAAATCCTTTTTATAAAGCAGAGCTAGATTGGGTTTTGTGATCGGGGGCACTAGAGCTTTGCATTGATTTTTTATATATTTTTGTAGTCAGGACTCAATTTTCAGATCGATCTCCAAAGGGCCCCTTAATTTTATAGAAAGTTTACATTTTTATCGAACGTTGTTGATTGGAATGCCATCCCATTCATTGATTCCCGTGTATCCAGTATCTTTAAAAAATCGTTGAAAATCTTTCAGCCGCAGGCACATTATTTTGAGATTTTTTTGCGTCGATTTTAATTCCGATTTTCGCTGACAATTATGCATCCATAAAAAATATTATGTATTTTCAACGGAGCCAAGTGTTTCCCTCACTGAGAAATTTAATAGCAAGTTGAATATCAAATGAAAATCAAGTTCATCGTCTGTGGTTATCCATTCATACGGATCTCTTCCCCGGTACGTGACGAACGATTTGTAATTTGTTTGAAATTTGTATTTGCTAATCGAAGACGTGACAAAGGGCTACGAGCAAAAATGTATTTCCCCCTTATTTTAATTTATACAAAATTCAGGCGATCAGCTGATTTATTGCTAATGTCTCTTTGAGGTTACATTGTGCATTTCCATAATGGAAATCTATTTTCCAACTTTGTATTGTCATTGCACCTTACTACTCGAATAGAGGAGAAAAGCGAATGTGTGTTAGGAATCCATAACACACAACAAAATGAAAAGGGTGATGGTGATGATGATAAATACCAGTAGAAGCACAAATGACTGGCGAACAAAGAACTACTAACGACGTTATGTGCAATAGAAAGAATATATTTGCTTGCAATTTATCTACACTCTGCAAAAATGGAAGAAAACAAACAAATTTTACTGCAAATTAAATTAAATTACCTGTTAACAAGCAAGCCGTTGATAGCAGCAAGAAAATGGAGGTTTTATAAAACATTTTTGCTGTTGTTGTTTTTGCTGCAACTATGCAATCAGAATAAATTTAAATTCACCGACGACAACTTCCTTCTTTGTTCTTCCAAAACACACAAATTTCACAATCCAACAGTCAGCTAGCCAGAGGGATTTAACTTTGCTACTTTATTTTTCCAAATTATCGTTAATGCGTTGTAATTAAATGGAGGAGTGAGATTTTCCGTCTTCCTCTCTTCTTTTTTGTTTTTTTGCTGTTCTACTCTTTGCAATAATTGTCACCTTTTAACAGTGAGTAATTTAGTTTTGTTGTATTCTTCACTTTCAATTGTATTATTTTATTTCTTTTGTACAGCGCAAAAAAAAACACAACAACGACGCACTCAAGTACTGTTTGTTCCAGCGTTTTCGTTTAAATAACAATCAGCAGTAAAAAAATTATTTGTAGGTCTGCTCCACTCAACAAAAAAAATTGATATGACAAACAAAATTTTATGCAAGGGTTGCCATGATGCGGGTAATTGAAATGCAGTTTTGTTAGTATTGTACCATTAACAGTAGATGGTGTTGGTGTGGTGACAAATACAACACTGTTCAGATTGCAGTGTCATACGCAAATCAACTAGAAATTCTAAAAATTAGATAAAGTGTGAAGGTTTATAGCATGTTTCCATTGGAAACCGAACAACGTTGTTCGCTCTCAGAATTAGGTACACGAATTAACCCGTTCATACGGCACGATTCGTAATTCATAGTAAAATAATTCCTTTTTTCAAAAATTTTGTTTCTTGATTTTAATGGGAATTTATACTAAAATACATTAAATTCTCACTAATATGAATAAAAGAAATGATTGTTTTTCTCCCAAATATGTATTATATCAATAATTTTATAATTTTCATTCACGTTTTCAACTTTTTGTGTAAATCTTGACATTTTGAACATATTTTTGTGTTTTTCCATTTTTAAATTCTACTGGAGAGACACTTGTCAAACATTTTTTTGCCAATAGAAACATTTTGAAAATATTGCCTCTTTTGTTTGCAGTTTTCTGTGGAAATTTCATCTCGTGGACCAAATGCGTACTTCGAATGAGAGAGAAAACAAAATTTACTTTCGTTTGAATGTACATACGCCATTCAACATTGTAGTTTTCATACATAATTTTCAGTCTTCCCAAAAATTTTTAAATTTTCATTAAATTTTTCTATTTTTAATTTTAAATGTCATAATTTATTTTTTCGATAAATGCTCTCATTTGTTAGGGATGGGACATATTTTTTCGTTGTTCTGAGAGTGATTTGAATTGAACAACGTACAAATATGAGTGTTCGCTCAGGAAATTTTGTGTGAAGAATTAGGTAGTTTTTTCATAGTTAAGGGTCAAACAACGAATAGAGAGCGAATCAAGTGCAGTGGAAACGCCACATTAAATGCATAAAACCACCGACACTTAAATTATTGTTTTGATGTAGATTTGTCATTTATCTTACATAATCAATTGCCTTTGTTAATGTAAGATAAATGACTACCAAAATAACGCGTTTTATTAAAACATGTTCGTTTTAAATAAGTACGTTTAGATTCGCGAAATCCACTCGATCTCAAATGTCAATCCCATAACATATACGTCAAATAAATTTTGGATTTATGAATTCGATTTACATGACATCTACTCTAAGGAATTAACCATGGCAGAAGAATACAGGTAGATGCATGAACGCTTGGGAGCATTGATGTCAAAAAAAATTAAATTTTTTTCAAATAGAAGTAGATTTTTATATGTTTTCTTATACTACGTCATTCGGAGCCTATTATAATTCGCATTTTTCAACAAATTTTACAAATTTAAATAATTTTTCATTCAACAATTTCAATTCCAAAATTGGTTTGACAGTTCATTGTCCCTGCAGCTGTGTCGACGCGTCTACCTATATTCTTCTACCATGGAATTAACATATGAAAACGTGTAGTTTAAATGCGATCTTAAATGGTTTCGCGGACTGGTTAAAATTTCGAACTAAAATTGAACTAATCCATTTTCTCTTAAGATAATTTTCCTATCAGGTTGCACCATAAGCAGGTGTTTGAAAAACTATTGCTATTGCTTATTTTATCGGCAGTAATATTTTATAATTCTGTAACTATTGCTCTATTGGGAAAGTCAGTTATTCCAGTAGAAACTCTTACATTCTTGCACTACTGGAACAGGCCATATATTTTAACAGCTGTCGATAACAAATAGTTAAAATTTGTATCCTTGAAAAAAATGTCAAATTTTAAAATTTGTAACAGAAAATTAAAAAAAAAAAAACAACTGCGGAAATAAAAACATAAAAGGCAAGAAAAATTGAAACAACTTTAGTTTAAGAAAAAACTATTCAAATTTTCCGATTTTTTTTTTCTAGAGATATATATTTTTACCCTGTTTTTTACTTATTTTAATTTGAACGTCTTCCTCACTAAGTTTTTATCAGTTTGATGTGGAATGCTTTTTACATTTAGGATATTAACATTTTTCGCATTTCTACTAATTTTCCGTACCAATATTTTTTGAGAAAATTTGAATGAAATTTGGCAATTATAAAAAATTTCCTACTGTTTCTGCTTAAAAATATAAGTAATTACACTCAATATCAAGTTATATTACGACATATTATTTGAACCACGCTTGTATTTACAACTTCAATAAGCGCATGCGCGTAAAATATCCTTTGGCAAATATCCCTTCCTTACTTCACTGTTCCTTCAAGTAAATGTCAAGTGTTTGGTAGTGTTTGTTTCATAACATTGACGTCATAACCGTGGGACAATAATAAAAATTCTTTAAATTTCGAGTAAAAACAAAACGGAAAACCAAAACAAAATATGAAATTAACATTGACACGTTATCGTATCCTTTTGGGTCTGCAATTCTCTTTACTGATTGCCGATTTATTTTTTAATACATTTGCCCATTTGTTGTTGCCGCAAAAGTTACAATTAACTATATTGTTGTTTGTGTAAGTGCATTAAGTTTGGAGCAGGATGTTATGTGAGGAAAAGTATTGATTGTTGTTTTTGTATATTTTCAGGACAAAGGACTTGTTTATAATATGTGAATATTTGTTCTTTACATTCGCTGTCCATGCCACCTGTGTCTATGAGGTATGAAGAGAATAACAGAATTTTTATCAGTCTATAGTTGATATATTTAATTCCGTATTGCTTTCAGGTTGGAGCCACTCATGTCATTCTCAGGAATTGCAAATTCTTCCTGTTTACAATTCTTTTATATTTTTTATTGTCGGTTTCGCAACACTTCTGGTTCGTCTACCATGCTTTGTGGTATCCCATGTCAGATTGGTCATCAACCATGAAGGCTTTATCATTTGTTCAAAGAACAGGTAAGATATATTTCAGGATACATATTATTTTGTTAAATATAGAACTACTAAGTAAGTGGAGGTACCAAAAGGCATTTTCATCGCTATGATGGGGGTCCAAGTAGCTATGAAACAAAACGTTCGCCAACCAGCTGTTGAATCGAATCAGAAGATAAATGTGACTAGAATTATCAAAATAGAGAATATCGGTGAACACCTTTATATGTGTGCTATAGAAAAACATGGGCCTATATATTCATGTTCTGCAACCACAGGGAGAACCCATTAAGAACTGCAAATACCAATTTTCAGACAAATTCGTGAAAAATGTAACAAAAATCATCAAAATACCGAATATCCGTGGTACCGTTATATGAGGACTACACGAAAACGTGGACTTATATATACAATGTTTCGCCACCGGTGCTAGAACCCATTATGAGCTACAAATACCAATTTTTAGACAAATCCGTGGAACAATGTGGCAAAAATCATAAAAAGACGGAATATCGATTTTGTAACCATTCTTAGGTGGCGCGTGCGATGGTGCTGAGTCCTGTTGGAATGTCCAAGGTCCGCGGCCAAAATGTTTTCCTGCCCAAGGCTTTAATACAACCTCCAGAATATTTTCGCGTTAATATTCGGCATTTAATCTTATGCCACGGTCGAAAAATACGA